TGCGTCGTCTCGTTATGCCTTCTTCTTTATCTTATCGTCTGTGCTACCACCTTGTGCAGTTTGAAGAAGCCCGTTGATATGTTGGTAGCGTCTTCTGTTTGGATGTAGGCCGCCTCTAACATCCACCTCTGGGTCTTGCTCAAGTCGCTGTGGAGAACTTCTGCTGCGTTCCAGTTCGGAAGGTGGCCTTGTTCGTCGATGTGTATCACAAGAGCGTTCGTTGTTCGGTGATTTCGTACGTCGTTTCTATGTTCTCTGATTCTTGTTTGAAGTCCCCTACCCGTTTCTCCAAAATAGGCCTTGTCGCACCTGCCACATGGGATTTTGTATACAGCACTGTTCCTGTTTTCTGTCTTTTGATTTGACTTCTTTGTGTGCTGTCCGATCTTCTTTCCTGACGTCGTGACCAGACTTATGCCTGAAACAGACTCCGCAGTCAGGAAATCGCATGCGAGAGCCTATTCAAATACATGGAAGCACGCTCGCATCAATCGCACGCACCTCCCGGATGCGATTGATGCGAGAAGAATTATAATGTATTTGAATAGGCTCTCGCATGCGATTTCCTGAACGCGGAAAGAGTCTGTTTCAGCCTTTAGATGTGATGTCATCTGCCTCCGTACTGTGCCCGTGTGTGTGCTGTATGGTACGACTAACACTGTTTTTCTACGTGTATCTTGTGACTGCTCGCTGTCCATGGCTCTTCTTCTGATCTGTTTCGCCATAGACCTCTACATACCTGTATGTAGAGGTATGTAGAGGTCTATGGTTTCGCCTTTCCTTGTAGAGTGATCTTTAACTCCCGAAACGTCGGGAGTTAAATTGTTTTTTTACAACGTAATGAGCGACGGAACGGCCTTGCTGACACTTGCATTTTTACACAGTCGATGCGTCTCGGCAAGACAAACACAATGAGGCCAACCCCAGCGTTCTATCTCTTTCCAATCGAGAGTTATTGGCAAAAAGCTGTTTGTAGCCTCAAATGACCTGGGATGACCTTTCTAGAGGATATCAGCAAAAAAGACACCTTGGTCGTCACGGGTGGTTCAAATAATTATGATTCTGATATATTTGGACTGTTCCTATGCGTACACACGGATCTAGTGGCATTTTCGTTTTTCTCCATTAACTTATAATGGAAAGGTCACGCCACCGACCTGACCTTAGGTCACTCATGTAAAAAATCGGAGATACACAAATTTTAGGCATTCATAACATCATGCAATCCACCAAGTTTGAAACCTCTCTGACAAACACTGCAGGCTGGACATGATTGCAAACTTTTTTTTGGCTCGGTCAGTTAACTTGACCTGGTGACCTGACCTGACATGACCTGGGGTCAAAAATTTCACACATTGTCCAAAATTGATGTGCAAAAAGCTACTCCTAGCGGCACGGCGCTACGCGCCGCGGTTTTTTATTCACACGCAAAAAACGCGACAGGGTGGTAACATATGCCCCCCCCCCCACTGGGGCGAAGGTTAACCCGCGCCGTGCTAGGGTGTTTTCACGGGTGCAAGTCAGAATAGCTAGTGACATTTAAGCTAATGACTTTTGAGTACTACAAAAGAGCTAGTGCTGGTCAGGGTACGTAAGACGGGCAGACCAAACTCTGCAGACCAAACCAATAGCGCTACGAGCGAGAAAAAATTAGGACCAGAGTTACCTTTTCCACCGCACACCACCATTGAAGCCTGGTGAATTTGCCAATTATCTTTCATTTCGATTTCTTTAAAAACACTCATTCCATTCAAAAAAATCCATAGTAGCCGTTTTCACGACGGCCATCTGGTACAATGTGTACCAGATGGCCAGATGTGCATTGTGGTGCACATCTGGTACAGAGCAGTAATCGCCACGCACTTTCAGAATGTGGATCGCTCATGATTGTTCAATACAATACAATACAATACAATACGGATTAGGTGCAGATTTGGTCAAATCAGGTTCAGTGTGTCTCTTTGCAGCTATCAGCTAGGGTTGCACTTATTGCTTATATGCCTGCTTTGTCATATTATCAGAGAGCATCATTGAAATAAATTCATAAAATTAAGATATTTGCTGTAAAAGAAATTAGGTGCAGATTTCGTCAAATCAGGTGCATTCGCCGGATAGCCGGTCGGGCGTCGTGAAAACGGCTTATGTATTGTGGAAACTTTTGTGTGTAGCACAATAAAGTTATAAACTCTTAATCACTTGTGGTATTTTGTACATTCAAATACCACCAGTGTTCATACTTCATACAGCATACTTCATTTACCGCGGATTTGCTCTGACTGCATTGAATTGTCCACAGAGAAAAATCGTGCTGAACTTCCGACATTCAGTTTGGGGTAACGCATTCTGCACGAATCTCGTATACTGCCTTTTCCGAAGCACTTGAGACCAGCAAGCGACTTCAATGCGGCTAATCTCGAATATTTCAGAATATTTATTACCAGCTGTGCGGGTCGGTGAAACTGAAAGAAGCTGGCCGTCTTACCTTACCCATGTGGCCGTTTTACCCCATGGAGCGGGTCAAGACGTTTTTTTTGCAAGGTCTTTTAAAAATAGGTACAGTTTATACATCAGCTCCAAGTTTCATCTTCTAGCAAATGGAGTTAGAATGTGTAAAAAAGGGTTTTACTCAGTTTCACGTCTCTATGCTGTTTCTAACCGACCGAAAAATGGCTCCAAAGTTAGGTTGCCCGTCTTACCCCACTTTCCCCTACCAAAATAGGTACCGAAATATTATACCTATATAAATACCTATGGTAAAGTAGCTAGTGGATCAAAATAGCTGGAGTTGGAATAACTTTCAAAATAGATTCATAATAGCTGCAGTGTCCAAATTGCTAGTGCATAGAGATATATTAGGGTTAACTGTTAACCCGCGCCGTGCTGTTGCCCTGAGTTCCCGTGGGGGCTCCTGGGCCACGTAGTGACACGCGGTAAGCGGCAATCGAAAGAGCGTCAAAAATAATGGCGGATATTGTTTAGTCATTTTTAACCCGCGCCCCGCTGGGCTATTCAACCATACGCGCCCTGCTGGGGGAGGGGGGGGGGACAGATTCTGCCCCCCCCCACCCTGTGTAACTTCCTAACTTCCGAACCGATGGTCGTAGAAAGACGGGGAAAACGGCAATCGAAAGCTCTTAACAAGGCGGTTCTTAAGAGCTCATTTTTTTGCTTAAGTAGGTCAGAGGTCAGGTCACGGTCAGGTCAAGGGTACAAAATGCAAGTTTCTACAGTATCGGCCTTGCACCGTAGTTGCCGAAGAATAGACTGAGACTGATCGCCCAAAACGTGTTCTTAGGTTACCAAGACAATATTTGTTGCATACAATGTCATGCAAAGGTCAAATTCAAGGTCAACTCAGGTCACCAAAAACGAAATACCTATAGAAAAGGGCTTGTGCGACACATGTTTTATGGGTCATTTTTCCATAGAATTCAATAGAATTCAATAAAAGAACAGAAATATAATTTGTCAATAAAGTGAAAACTTTCGGACTTACAGACAGCTTAAGTTAGGGTTTCCAATTTTTTTTTCGATCACCCTGTATAGCCCGCTTCTAAGCCCGCATATAGAAGTGGCGGCGCTAAAACTGGCGGCGCAATAAGCGCTGAAAGTGGCGGTGGATGTGGTTATTTGAAATGTCGACTGAATACTGATCGGCCGTCACCACCGGGTGATAATCGCCCTGTGCGGGGTCGCGGCACGCCCTCATCTGTCGCCCCTCCTCCGACCCAATCCAAAGGACGGCCCTGGCAGTGGCGCGGGAACTTCTTCCAGACTGGGGGGGCTGAACAATAATAGAAATCAACCTAGGGTACCCCCAAATCTAGTTTTCTCACCGGTTTTAGGCCACTTATTTTTCAGACCTTAGCCTTTTCAACAACAAAAAAAAACACACGAAAATATTTTCAAAAAGTGAGGTATTCCGTCTCAGCTGAGTGAAGAAACTACCGTTTTGGCAACCTGGAGTAAAGGTTTTAATCTGCCAAATGAGTTGCCGAGCCAGTGAAATAGGTGGATTTTTCACTTACATGCTTTCTTCCCTTGTGACCCACAACCCCTAATTGGGGAGGACAAGCTTCCCAACGGTTCCTGACCTCATGAAACGTTGTGGGGCACCGCCTCCACGGCCGCAGAGTTGTGGGGGCAAGCTTCCCCCACTGCCCCCTCCCCCGGTTCCCACGCCTATGTATGAATCTATGAAATTATGTTGGTAGATTTCCGATTTCGATTCCTTCAGCTGGGGGGCTCAAATACATTACGAGCCCCCCCCCCCCCAGCCGAAAAGCTGGGGGGCTCAGCCCCCGCTAGCCCCCCCCCCCCCCCCCCCCGGTTCCCGCGCCACTGGGCCCTGGTCGCAACCAACCACCGCACCTAGCAGATGAACAAGGCGCCATTCAGGGGAACAAAAACAACCGAACTGTCTTTTAGGGAAACAAAACATCTTTCGTAGTAAGTTATATGTCTAAGCTTATAGAGGCCATCTTGTCAGACGTTTTGAGCTTTGACTTTCGATGAGTATAGGTATGCACGAAACATGTTCATTGTTCCCGGAACAATTAGGTCCTTCATTAGCAACTCGCTGCCCATGGGCCATGGCCGCTCGTTTGGACCGTTCACCGACAGGCGACAAACCCCTGTCACCGTGTCGGGACTGGGCTGTCCCTGCCCGCGTCAGATCCATCCACACGGTTCACGGCTAGGACATGACTCTCCGTTTGTCGACCTCGACATATTCGGGTCAAAAGCCGGCCAATCTCGCCATTTTGGAGGCGATCCGGCGGCCGGCCGCTGATTGGCTGATCTCAGCCGCCGCGCCGGCCGCCGACCAATCACCGGCCAGTCACCGCGCCGCTAGTGGCTACTTCCGTTTTCACAAACTGGCCAATTACCGTAACCGCCGGATCCGGCCGCCCTTCCTGCCCTGTCATAGCGTTCATTTTTACGGCCGGCTCGACGCGATTGTGGACCGAGCGGGGCCCGCCCAGTGCCAGAAGGCAGTCCTGTGACCCTGGTGCCGGCGGCGGTGCTGCATCACACGACTGTGACCCAGCACCGAGAGCGGGTCAGTTCACTCGTCGTCGCGTCGCCGACCGGCACACAGCTCCGCGAGCTCCGCCGAGACCAGTGCCGGTGCCGTCCCCGAGGGATGGTGGCCGCGCCCCAGTGACCAAAGGCCAAAATGAAAAGGAGAACTTTTGAGATCGCCATGGTTGAAGTAATTGCTGTGTTGAACGTCCTGAAGACGCTTAGTGATGGTGAGTACCTACCTTGTGTGACTATGCACTGCAACTGGCTCGGATAATCTGTGTAAGTCCTGATACCTGCTTCTTGTCACTGTGCCTATCAGATATTTGTGTTGTGAGTAAGTGAGCTCATGGCGATATGCTCCCAAAAATGGTTAATACCTAAATAAATTTTCCCAAGCCCATTACCAAAAAAAAAATATATATATATAAACCGAAAATTGCTATTTCTTAAGCGTGTCATCAATGTAGACGTGATCATTTACTACCCGACACTTCAGGCGTGGGTCTTGCCCCCGTCGGACCAATCACTTCTCCCTACTGAGGAGCAGGTGCGACCGAGGAGGCCCTGACGGGCGGCGCGATCCTCACCGTTTCGTTGCTAACTGCGCACTGACGAGACTTCGTTCTTATAGAAATAAGAAAGTTCAATGGCTTGAGCTTTGTTAAAAAAGGCAACCTTTTGCGCTGTACCGAGAAGCAACGAATAGCACGGATGAACCGTCTAAGAATCCCTGGATAGGTAAGACGTTCCAATGTTCCATTTGTCATATGCACATTTATGTCATAAATCATATCAAAGTGTTTTTTGTCAACATTTGGAGGTGAAGTAGGTATCTCAAGCAGAATTCTAACGTAGTTTGTACTTTGTTGAGCCAAAAGCGTTCTGTGTGGCTTTGTGCAATTCTTTAAAATATATGTGATAATAAGGTTATCGGTGGGGCCGACGAATCATTTTGGGCTGTAATCATTTCGTTTCGATATGAAACGAAAATACTTGTAAATACAAGTATTTCCATACAAGTATAATAACATTAACGTATAGGTAATACAAACAAGTAAACCTCATATAACCACAAATATGTTCTTGCATAATCAGCATGTGCTAATAAAATTAAACAATCACCCAGTTCATCAGCGCTGGCGGATCCAGAAAGGAGGTCTTTGACGCTGCGGGGGGGGGGGGGGGTATAATCCCAAAAAAGTTCCTCCAAATTCCAAAAACGCATCTGATTTCGATGTCTTATGCACTGCTGTGCAGTTTAGAACAAAGGCGCTAGCACAGGGCTGACCGTCGCTACTAAGTTTTTTTATCCGGCGCGATCGGGCGTCGCGGTATATTTGGACACTTGACTCGACCTCATAGGTCACCGGTCGACCTGAGGCCTTAAAATTGGATACCAGCCGCCGCGTCTCGTAACGGTGCACACGCTCGCTTTTTTCCCTCACGAGGTTCTAATCGTAGCTCAATTAGGCGCGAAACGGCGACGGGGTCGTATCCGCCCCGCGTATTTGGAATTTCCGACCTCGACGAGCATCTGTGGTAGAAAACCACCACTTTGGTAGGGGAAACTACTGCTGTCTGCTACCGTTTGCACTGCATGTCTCGCTGATAGTTGCGACGTTGCGACCTATTGCGACATCTATGCAAGTCAGCAAGGGTACGTACCTTAGCGATATACGTACTTCATAATTTACGTACTTTTTCGATGCGTATTTTCTTCTTTGACGTACTTTTGTCTATACCTACTTTGTACTGTACGTAGTGTACCTATCTCTGCGATACGCCTACTTCTGTCCTTGACGTACTTATTCCATACGTACTTTATACTCGACGTACTTTTGCGATACGTACTTTTGCCCTTGACGTACTCTTGTCCATACGTACTTTATGCTGTACGCACTTTTACGATACCTATGTGCTTTTGTCCTTGACGTACTTTTGTCCATGCGTACTTAATAATCCACCTTATACGTACTTCTTCGATACGTACTTTTGTCCTTGACGTACTTTTATCCATTCGTGCTTCATACTGTACGTACTTTTGCCATGCGTACTTTTGTCCTTGGCGTAGTTTTGTCCATGCGTACTTTATACTGTACGAACATTTGCGATACGTACTTTTGTCCTACGTGCCAGGGGCGTCGCCACAAATTTTTGACAGGGGGCCGACTAAAAACCCAAAATTAGGTATCGTTACCGTACTTTTTCAGGCCGATGCCTTATCTGTTCAACGATACTGGCTGAATTCATACGCGGTACGCGTCTGAAGTATTCATTTTTACACGGGTAACCAGAGCCTCCGGTCTTCTATCAGGGTATAATTGTTGACACATGCCGTCAATCTGATAGTTAACTGTTAATGTATTCATCATACGTGGTGGTTGCTTTAGGTATTTGTCACAACTCTGAACTCATAATCTCTTTTGGTCTCCAGTATGAATGGGCGGGGCGGGTCGGCGCGAAGCGCCGCGAGATTTTCGTCGAGGTCGGAAATGTATATGCACAGATGTCGCTACAATAGCCAAATAGCTTGACATGCAGTGCAAATTGTAGCCGACAGCAGTAGTTTCCCCTACCAAAGTGGTGGTTTTCTACCACAGACGCTCGTCGAGGTCGGAAATTCCAAATACACATCCGCCCCCTGCTCTCTCGGCCGGGTGTAGGTATGTAGAAAATGATAGGTACGGCGATGTTTAAATCTTGCAAAGGTCTATGTATAATGCCCTTTAAAGGGACTATCCCAGGGGCGGATCTAGGATTTCGATAGGGTGGGGGCAGTCAAGCACATGGGCGGCACATTTTCCGCCTAAGGGGGCGGCATTTATAGGGTCTGTTCCAGACTCCAGTCCAGTGGAAAAAAAAAAAAAACGAGCTTGACGGCCGTCACGAGACGCAGCGATTGATATTCAAATTTAGGGTCTCAGGTCAACTGGTGACCTCTGGTCAGGTAAATTACCCTAAAGTCGGGTTTTTGTTTTTGGCAAATAATTTTGCAAACAAATGGTCATAGAGCAAAAATTTAGGCATAATCGTATTCCTCTCAAGCTGCGTCGAATGTTGTGGGTACTTTTTGTTCGGTAAAGGTCACAATCAAGATTGACACAAAGGTCGTCAGGTCAAGCCCCCTCAGGACACTGTTCGGACTAGGTCAGGTTGCATATCAATCGATTTGGAAGCTCATTGCAATCACAATGGTGCCTTTCCCGACTCTAGCTTAATTTGGTCGAAAGTTATTAACGAAAAACGATTATGACCCAAAAGAACGTCCTCTGTGACGTTCTCTGTGGCGTCATACAAGTAGGTACAAAATGTCAAAATAAGGCACGGAAACCTTTGACGAGCGTATGGAAACACATTTATTTGCGTCTTCGGGCGGATTATATAACAACTATATGTTCCAAAAAGAGCAAGTTCAGTAGTTCCCCCATAGGTTTATAATGGGGGATGTCAGGATGAACTGTACGAACAATCCAAGATATACGAAGTATGAGTACCCGGGAGCTTGTTACTTTCTGAAAGTGTCATCATCCTCGCCGACACTTTGCCTGGCGTTGGCGGCGTTGCGAAGTTGCAACATTTTTTTGACAGTGCAGACTGCAGAGTGCAGAGGTTTACTTATAACCTTTAGAGGTTTATGCATCGGTCAGTGACCTGACCATAGTTGGAGAATTGTACTGAACTGTGGGTGCACGAGCTCTCCCAATTCCACGCCGGCTTGGCTTTGGAGCCGCAACAGACTGTGGAGGTCAAGGTCACCGCTAGGGCGGCGGCGGATTTGCTGCGCCCGAGCACCCACCGTTCGGCACAATTATCCACCTATGGACCTGAACTAACCTGGAAATGAATCAGGTGTCATAAGGTCTGGTTTGGATGGGGGCTCACGTAGGCCAAGTTTCAGCTCTCTATCGAAAACGGCTCCGGAGCAGTCACGAAAAAAAATCGTAAGGGGTGCCCCCCCCCCCTCCTCCCTCGGCCCGCGAGGGTTAAAGGTAGTGTGCCACCTTTCAAAGATTTCCCATTTTATTTTTCCTAGGATAAGAAGCTTCTGTTTTTACCTAATATCGCAAAAAAAAATAAAAAATGGGCCTGGAATAGTGCTTTTTTCGCCGAAAAGTTTATCGGTTTTTCGATATGTAGGGGAGAGTGGGGAAAGATGCCCAGGGTTTTACTATGTCATTACGGAGCGAGCGAAGCGAGCGTAGTCTTTCCTTAGATTAACGGAAATTTCTGAGTATGAGCGGCCGGCCGGCCGTGGTCACGCTTTTGCGAGGCTTATATCTCAGCAACCACTTGACCGATTTACATGCAGTAATTTTTGTAGGGTAGCTTCATTCCTTCTACCAGGTATTGGACTATTCCCGATGCATGTGGGTGACTCCTTATGCACGTGCCACGTGCAAAACGAAGAGGTGTCATTTTTGTAATTGTTGCAATATCTCGGTAACTACTGGGCCGATTGCGCTGAAAGTTGGCATGTAGGTAGGCACCCACTAGGCACTGCATATCCATGTGCCAGAGTTGGGGTGCTGCTGCACGTGCGCACGTGCAGGGGTCGTTTCCAGATCTCGAGAACGGCTGGACCGATTGCGCTCAAATTTGGTACGCGGTTAGGGACCGGTTAGTAGGGTGCCGTGCACAGGTCAGTTGGGACCCATTTTGCGCGTGCGCACGTGTAGGGTGCCGCTTCCAGATCTCGAGAACGGCTGGGCCGATTGTGCTCAAATTTGGCACATCGCTAGAGACCGGTTAGTAGGGTGCCGTGCACAAGTCAGTTGGAGGTACCCCCTCGAAATTTCGCACGTGCAAGGCCCACCCTCTCGCTCGCTCCGTTAGTCGCCCCAAAAGGCGTTATACTGGTATATTATTCGAAAATGACGATCGGAAGGCAAAAACTTGGAGTTTCAACAGAAGCCGACATCATTTTTCTCCAAAAATATCACAATTTCGTGCCTGAACTATGATAACTTTTTTTGCTATTAAGCATTTTCCTGAAGAAGTGAAAGGGGGCATCTTACCCCACAGGGTGGGAAAGACGCCCCCTGGCGTTGGGTAAGATGCCCCCTGCACTATAAGTGACATAAATGGGCACGTGAATCGCCTGAACGAATCAGTAGTCCCTTCGAGCCTGCAGTAGACACCAAACGTCATCGTAAGGGCCCTCAAAAGTAGTCGTAAGGGGCTTCAGAGGTCATCGTTAGGGCCAGCTTAGTTCAGCGCGGCCAAACAA